GCCCCACAGGACTGCACAGTGCTTAATAAAGCATCTTAATTTGGATTTAATATGATATCTACTGTGTGCTAAAAACAGCAAATTGCTATTTATTAATGACATAATTATTAAAACTCAACACCTGGGCACTGTAAGCTAAACCAGGGATAGGAAAGTTCCTTAGAATATTATTTTAATAATTACCTTATTCAATTATTTACATATTTGAATTAGAATTCAGTAATAGCCAGATGAAAACTTAATAAAGTGCATTAAATGTGGAATTTTATTCTCAGAATATGCTTTGCCTGACTTTTGTCTTTCTCCATAAATATGTCTTAGTCTTTCTGTTTATGTAATTAGTATATTGTAGATTCAGACCTCAAATGCCTTCAGTCATCAAGTACACACATGTGCAGAAAATGCCATCCTTTTGTAAGGCTCCACTGACGCTCAGCTGACTTAATATGTGACACCTGTTCTCAGCCCTCCCCAGTTTACCTTTCAGTTGTGCTCTCGGCCCCCTTTGGTCAGCTTAACTCCAACTGGTAACAGGTTGCTTGTGCCTGGTTGTCCCCAGTTGTCACCCAGCATCTTTGCCATCAGCATATTTAAACAAGAATGACTCTAACTATAGTTCTCCACAGAGCCAATTGCTGCTCTGAGATCCCCCTTCCAGGCCCTCATTAGGTCCCATGTGTGCTCCTTGGCACTGCTCTCCAATCCACCCCTTTCCTTCAATCTCTGCAGAGCCAACAGCTCAATCCAGGCTTTGAATATCACTCATGTAGATAGATTTCTCTAATTCCAATTTCTCCCAGTTCCATTCTGACACATGGTTAACAGATTCTTCTTCCTAAAATAAAATGTTAAAATTATGGAATTCTCTTTTTTTTTAATCAAATACTTGCTATAGCCTAATGAAGCTAACAATCCAAGACCTAGCCCTACAGGCTGTTCTGCAATCTGGCCCCCTGGTGCCTCATTGATTTTGTATCCCGCTATTATTGATTCTTATGGAATTTATTGACTGTCAGTTCTGTGTTGACACTGCACACTAGTCATTTATTGAATGTCTCATGTTTTCAGGATCTGCTCTCAGGTCTTTTCAGAAGTTGTCTTAAGTCCCCTGAAGAACCTCACAAATGTCAGAATTCTCAGAATTACTGGTTCCCCTTTGTAGATGAGGAAGGTGGCCTGGAAGGTCCAGGAACTGAAGCCTTGTGGGACGCTGCCTTCTGCTGTATGTTCCTGTACCTCATGGATTTTTTGTCACCTCATCCACGCCAGTGTATTTCTGGTTCCTGTAATGTTGGTCATGCACTTTCGTCTCAGTGCATGATTCTTTCTTGTTTGTTGCTACCCAAAGTAGATGCTAATGTAGGGTGAAGTCATTCTGGCACTCCAAGTCACTGTGGTCACCCCTCTGTCCAGGCCACAGCACTTACCACATACCTCCTGCATTTCACAATCACACACAATTTTCTGGTACATTTTGCTTCATCCTCCAAATCAAAAGAATGTTTTGAATGTATTGTTTCCCCCAAACAAATGGAAAGCACATGGAGAGCTCACCAGACTGATATTTTTGCATGCCATAAAATATCCAATACACCATTCTGTATAGACTATGTATTCACAAGCACTTTTTGCCTTTTGGCACAGCTGCTAAAGAACAATCTCTTCTGATAATGGTTGATTACTTATAGGCACAAAATCTCTCACTAATCGTGCCTTTCTTATCTTACCTTATTTGGTTAACAAATTTGTCTTCCTCTCCACCCCAGATTTGATAAATATTTACTGAGCCCTAAAAGTTAACAGTTGTCACATGTCCTAAAAGGCTCATGCAATGCCCAGGTACAGTCAAGTTTAGGCATCTGACTTGTATGCTCCTATAGTGTTTGAGGAATCCTTCTGTGTCACAATACATTAGAGTTTGGATCCCTCTGTTTTATATCTTTAGATTGTGCTATCCTTAGGGACTAGGATGTTATGTTCTTAGTGCTTATCATAATGCTGGCATATGGAAATTGACGTGTGAATATCGACAAGAGAATGAATGAATGGGTGAATGAATAAATACTAGCAGACAAAGCAATCTTGGTATGGTTCTAACAGCCTTCTTTAAGGGAAGTAAGGTACAGAAAGTATCCATGGAAACTGTGAAATACAGGCAGCCTATCTCTTACTTTCCAAAGTCTGTTTTATGAGCAGGAATTAGCTAAAATCATAGTGTTTCCTTGCCAGCTCAATTTAATTTTCCAGGGAGGTACTGTGGATAGCACTCAAGTCCTCATGTCAATGGTGTGCTCTGAGCCTCTAATCTTAAAGCCGACAGTGTGATATAAGTTGCCACCTAGAAAGTGATCCTTTCCACCCTAGAACATCTGCACTCATTGATTTAGCTCTCATCACTGTGGTTGTGCCTGTTGTCACCTGAGCCCCATACAAAGCATGGCTTCTCTTTTGGCTCCATCCAGGGCAATGTGCCTCCTACAAACTCTACTGTTAGGCCAGCTGGGAGAGGGGTGAGCACTTCTCCATTTCCTTCATGAGTTGGATACATTCCAGTTGTAAATGATAGAGGTGGGGGAAGAGACGATTCTCGATGATTCTTCCAAGCATGAGGTGTGATTTTCTCATTTAATATACTTACTGTGCTGACAGCTCTGGCCCACTCCACCATCCATGCCACTTGGGGACTGTCCATTGTTCTCCAGTGTATGATTAGCAGATTAGCTATCATGTAGGAAGCCAGGAAAATGAACTCCCAGTCAGCCTTCCAAAGCAAGAATAATTCATTACCCAGCCTGATTTCCACTTAAAATGTACTTTATGTACACTTCCAACTACAACCCCTAAATCATCCCGTGTCCACAAAGTCCATCATTTTTTATTTTATTGCATGGCGTTGGCATGACATAATCCCTTGCAGAGAATCTCGGAGTGCTTTACAGATCAATAAATTACTTACCTGCACCATTTAAGTAATGTCTGAAGGCCAGCGTAGACACTCTGAAGGCAGCCTGTGTTCCAAGAAGCAAGCAAGGCTGTGTAAGTGCACAATCTGGGCACCGGCAGGGAGCAGGCAGATGTGTTGGGCCAAGTTCACCAGAAGGGAATGCTGCAGTTAATGTTCTGTGAGTAAAACACATTAGAGATTTTACATCTTCAAGAGTCCTATAGAACTAAGAGAATTTAGAAATGTATATGTCAAGGAGTCAGCAAGTCAGATGCTTAATCACTACCATATCAATTGCCTTTCTATCCTGATAGGCACACTCTGACTTTTAACAATTAACTGCAAATGACAGTGTTAGATCTTAAATATCTCTCAACCCTCTACTTTACTTCTGTCTTACTTGTTCTTCATTTCTATCTTAATGTGCAGGAATTCACACACACACACACACACACACACACACACACACACACACAGCCTCTTTACCTGAAAGTCAATGTATATTTAAGTCTAAAAATGTATGAAAGACACCGTATGCATGAAAACATAAAATTGAATGATGAAAAGGACTCCTTTTAAAGACCTTCTAATGAAATACAAGGGGTGGAAATTCATTCAGTCAGGGTGCCATCAGAGAGAAGCCGCTGAGCACACATGGCAGCCACAAGTATAGATGATACAGGACAAAACACAGCACATGCTTGGGAGCCATGAGTGTACCACAAGGATAGAGTGCAGGACCTAAATGGGAGAAAATGATGGAGAAGGTAGACCAAGGTAGAAGTCTGGGAGGAGATGCTTCCATCATATCTCTTTCCCAGAGGAAAGGGTCCAGCATGAGTATGGACGCTATAAATACCTGTTGAACTTCTACTGTAGATAGCTATATGAGGAAGATATGGTTCAGGCTCAGGCTGACAGAAAAAAAATGCATGGATGAGTGAATGAATGACTCAAAGCAAGGCGGATAATGTAGTGGGATAAATCTGTGCATGATTAGACTTAGGAGCTCAATAAATGACATCGTCATTTCAACTTCTTGAAGTACAGACCGTTTGGCATATTAGACAAATGAGGGGCCACATGGAGAATCCAATATCACATTGTCCATGGTAAAGGTGACAGTACAAAAGTATAGCAAGATGTATAGCATGAATGAGCCTCTGGCACAGGTTCCAGCGTGAGATAGGGTACATAAGCCAGTGCTTGACTAGGCTGCAGGGCTGTGAATCACAGAGGGAAGAGCACAGTAACATGCAGCCTTCGAAGGGGAGCCAGGCTCCAAAACATAAGCCAAGGAAGCAAACGTCTCCCCAACTTTAGGCATTTGGAGGACTACTCTCCTTCTTTGTAGGAGTGAGGTCAAGTGAGCATAGCTCATTGATATGAGTGCCCAAGAATCTGTGTCTAGTATGTTCAGCAAACATGGGTGAAGAAGCAGAACTGAATTTGAGTTGTTAAGGGGGAATAGGTAGATAGTAAAGGAAATAACAAAGAAAAATATAGATCCTCCATGTGACCAGAAATGGCATGGTGTGTTGGGGACAAAGCAAGGGTAAGTGGATGTGGGGGCCATTAGAGATGGTTGGGTGAAGTTAGTTGATGCTCAATTCTGAATGTGCTACTGTGCTGACCTAGAGAACCTGATTATGTCAGGTAGGTAACAGGGAGAATCCAAACTATTTAGATAGATATGTGCTATGTTAAAAACTGCATTACATAAAGCCACTTCTGAAGTCAATGAGAATGACTCATGGACCTATGTTGGAGGTATATGTGTGTGGGGGGGACTAAGAGGAGATAGAAGGTATAGTTGGGTGTTGCTGCAGCAATGCAGTGGAGTTGATTTCCCTCTGGGCTTTGTATTTAATTTGGAAGTTAAATTCAAGGTAAGAATTTTTTCCCTGTTTAGGGTAATTCTTCTAATTTTTCATCTTTTCCAAGTTCAGTCTATATGTTTCAATCTTTGGGAGTTTCTGTCAGCTTCTACTTTAAGACAATGAAAAGATTTGTCAATGGGGTTTTTATGTTCCTTCTACCTGTTTTGTCTCCACAGTATCTCCCAAAATTGTGGAGATTTCTTCAGATATCTCCATTAATGAAGGGAACAACATCAGCCTCACTTGCATAGCCACAGGCAGACCGGAGCCTACAGTAACCTGGAGACATATTTCTCCCAAAGGTAAGAGCATCCGTTCATGAGAGATCTTTTTAAGAAGGATGGGAGGATGTGGTACTGGCTGCTGAGTCTCAAGGGCTCTAAGCTTCTGCTAGTCTATAATCAACTCAAGACTCTTGTAGATATGATTGTTCTATGCAGAGTGGTCATAGCTGTGACAATCTCAGGAGGTGTACCTGAATATATGTGGGTAATCTTGTGGAGTTTAATTCTGCTTGAGTCTGGGTGACATAGTGGTGAAGATTTTCTGTGTAAACTTGTCCCATTGAGACTGATGATGGAAGTGCTGTGTTGGTGACATTGTCCAGCTGGTATTTGATGAGCTAGGAAATACAAACATAATGACAGATGAGAGCTCTAAATGCCATATTCCTAACAAGAAATTTCCTTGCTCTGTGCTTTGCCAAAAAATCTGGTCATTAGCTGATTTGTGGTTTTGCTGTTGTTTTTCTCTTATATTTCCTAAATAAAAAATATCACATAATATATGGCTGCATTGCCAAATTTATGTTGCCAAAATGTTCAGATGTTTTGAAGACCAAACTGAGTGATTTGTGCTTTAAACCTATAGGATTTGACAAGATGTCACTTAACATTAAGGTAGCTTTTATTTGTTATCAAGGAACATAATATTACTTCATTCATTCCCAAATATTTGTAGAAAGTGCAATCATCCAGGCTATTCTAGGCACTGGGGGAATTAGCCATAACCCCAAACTAACACATTTCTGTTCTTGTGAATATATTCTCATGAGCAGATGGCTGTGTAACAAGTACTGTTTAAGATTGAGAATGCTGTGTAGTATACATTGATGAATGACAAGGAGTTGAGTTAAGAAATAGCAGCACTTGAGCAAAGGCATTGATAGACAGCCTCAGATCTGTTGCTGAGCACTGGCTGATGTATGTAATTGCATATGAATTCATGCATATGCATATTTATGGATATGTGTGGACCGAAGAAGGCATGTGTATTGCTAGGTAGGGCAAGGTTAAGGAGTCCAAAGGCACCCTTGTGGATGTTTTTTGGCTTGTTTCAGTCTGTGTGCCCCCGCAGCAGACTCTGAGGAGAGGGATGTGAATGAAAGTTATTAGGGGAGTGCCTGTGATCAGCTTCTGTCGGGGAAAGGGGAAGGAGGCAAATTTGGATAGAAGGAGATGATGAGTCACGATGTGGTCCAGAGAAACAATCCACACGTCTGTGTAGGATTTCTGAAGTACAATGTCCCTTCTAATCTGTCTTCTACTAAGATCATTTGCCTGACCCTTTTCATCAACATAGTAGTTCGTTGTCGGGTATAGGCTGTTCCCCAGAAGGGTCATAACCACTGGACCAGGCAAACTGTTTTTACAAGTGAATTCCCGTGTTTTTCACTGAAACCCGAGGCTCCCATCCCTAAAGGTGGCAGTGCCTGCATAATCACACTTTAAAAATTCAGTTTAAAAAATGTAATCTCCTCTCAGACAGTGACAGTGTACCATGACAGATGGTCTCAGAGTTGTGACATGTTCAATTGTATTTGTTGTGGGCTCAAGGGAGCTGTTTGGTCACCATTCCTGATGTTACCCTGTGAAGAAAGGGATAAGAGAGAACTTTCTGCATTTAGGTCAGTCTCTCCTTTTAAAATGACCTTCTCTGTGGACTGGCTCAAGTCTAGGAGGACACCCCAGCTGAGCATGAGATCACTCATTAGTGATGGAAAGTGGGTCTGGGACACTTGTAAAGGCAGGGATACCTAAACCCACAGGTTTTTCGAGTCTACATATCCCATTCATCACAGCTTAATGTCACCAAGTCCCCAGTGTTATCGGAACCTGGGCCAGTCTGCCTTGCGATGCTGCAGAACATTTATCACTTGGGGTAGACTTACTTCACCTATTGCAAGAAACTCTGTCTCTCGTTTGATGCCCCTTCTTAGTCCCATCCCTGAGCAGTCAGCTCTTTGCCAGTGTACTGATGCTTTATGGCCTTTCTCCTCCAGATACCTTCTGCTGCTCAATCCTTTTATGCCCACGTCTCTCCTACACTTTTTGGTTCTCCCATTTTCCTCACTGTCTCTTAAATATTTCTGTTATGATTTACTTTATTCTCACAGTTAACCCCTTCTCTTCACCCCGCTCTTCCTCTTCCACTTTTATTTGATGCTGGTTCAGCTGTGTTTTGGGGGTCCTTTGTTCCTCCTTTTGTGGCCCTGAAGTTAATTCACTTCCCTAGGAGATTTTCACCTGAGCCGGGGCCAGATGCTGCCACATTCCTGAGGTTTTAGCTGCTATGGAAACAGGAGATGGATCAAGGGGAGAGGAGCAGGCTGATCAGAATCTACCTGCAGATTAGAGTAATTTAGATGAACGGCTTTGTCCAGATCTGGGTCCCAGATTAGCTGTCCCACTTTTGAACTGATGAGATATACTGAGCTGTAGCTAATCACCTCGAGACTCCCTGGGGACCAGTGTCCCTGGTGGGGATTCTTTGGAGATCAGAGATGTCATTGAGCTGTTACCAAATCTGAGCTAAAGCTAGAGACCCTTAGCAGTCAGGCCTTCTTCTGTACTCACTAAATGTTTCCAAGAAAGTGCTTATTTTAAATAAACCAGGACAGGTTTGGGGCTCCTGAGAGAATGATGTGCACCTTCGCTGAGTCTCCAAAGGCAGTGAGCAGTTGTCATCATTTTCCCAGTGGCGAAGACAGATCATGTTTCAGTCAAATTATTCTTACACAGACATGAAACTCTCCCCAAAGAACAGCTGATCCAGGCACTTGGGGCAACCTGATGACTTCATTGTGTTTCCCCTCTAGACTGATCTGCCGGTTTTGTGCAGTTTTGAAAATGCCTAGTTTTGTTTATCAGAAGCCATCCAGTGCAACTCACAATCTCTCATAACCTCTTTAGAACACCTACTTCCAGCCAGGGCCATCTGTGTGGAAAGGGAATAAACAAATGTGGGCCGTTCTTTCAGCAAGGCCCCTCCATGTTGATATAAGAGTAGATATCCGGAGGATAAAAGGGTCAAGAGGCCTACCCAGGCCATTTATCAGATAGAGAAAATGCCAGATGCCCACAGGCAGGATAGAGAGGAAAATAGCGCCTCCCAAGCTGCTTTTTGACAAGCCATTTTTTTGGTGCAAAGTTGTTTTTCTTATGTTATTTATGGTGTCTTGCGTTTTCTATTTCCTCCTCATGACTTACCACTCCTGGATTCAAGGAGAAAATGCACAGTTTTGTAGAAACCTGTCCTTACTCTGCTCACCTTTTTGGTATATGAACTTATTGTGTATATTTGCATGGGCCTTGATCTTCCCAGGAGGAAAAGTTCCCATTTCAGGTCCTCACAAGAAAGAGTTGTAGCTAACTCCATGCAAGCCCAAGCTGAAGTCCTCAGAAGGGTCACTTTGAAACACGCAGCATCAGGGAAACCAGAATCTACTCCAAGGCTGCTCCCTGCTCAGGAGTGTGGGTTTGTCCTTTGCTTTTACCTAGATCTGAAAGAATGTGCTTTAAAATTGTCCTAAAAAAAAAAAAGAGCCGGGTCGAGGTGGCGCACGCCTTTAATCCCAGCACTCAGGAGGCAGAGGCAGGCGGATCTCTGTGAGTTCGAGGCCAGGCTGGACTGGCAACCTCCAAAACAATACAGAGCAACCTTGTCTCGTAAAAACCAAATAAATAAATAAAATAAAATTGTCCTATCCCTGAGTTTTATCTAGTATGCAGAAATAGGTTCTCTTTCAAATATATCGTGAAAACCCCCAACAGTTCACAGAAATGTGTTCTCACAGCCCTAGCACCAGATCTCATTGAGGTGTCAGAGAGTTACAGAAACAGCTAGGACTCCTACACTGTCACATTCCTGACAGCCTGTTATAAGCTCAGGTAAAGATGTGAGTCCAATCAGGAATCTGTGGACGTTTTGCACCTTTGGAACCATGAGCATCTGATAGAGTATTCTGTGGGCGCCTACTTTCAGCAGCTTTCTTTAACTAAAACTCTTGGGTAGTGAGTTGCAACCTCATCTATGACACCCAAAGAGCATCTCCACACTAAGTCAAAGGCATCGAGGTGAGACAAAGGCATTGATGAAATCCATGGAGCAGAGATGTCCCACATCTGGTTCATTTGTACCATTCCCATCTCAAAAGTTCTTTGAGATCAGGGACTGTGTCTCACTTTTTTTCCACATCTTTCCCATATGCACAGTGCCTGGGGCCTACATACCACTCAGAGTACACTGTTGGTCTGGTGTGCAGCACTGCAATTTGTCATTGCTCCAAAGAATCATGCCTCTTCTCCCAGTGCAATGCTCCAGGCTTACTCTTGAGAGTTCTTCTCCACTGTGATGTTTACAGTGGGGAATCTGCCATCTTCCCCAGATGGAGCCCTTGTTGAAGCTCCAGGACATTTTCATTAGCCTTCCCCAGGCTTTCATGAAGCCACTCCAAGGAACCAGCTGTGTTGGGAGGTTCACCTTAGGCTGAAAGCAAAGCCCCTCTTCAAGCTCACTTTCACAGAAGTTGAGAAGGCTCACAGTGGCTTTGATGTTGTAATTTCTGATGCACTCGGGTCCTTGGTGCCCATCATTCTGCTGAGATGTGTTTTCTTGGAACATGTTCTTCATCTTGCCCTTCTGAGACAACCTGAGCCTTCCACTACTTACTGATTTCAACCCTCTGGTAGGTGGCCCCTAAGTAGTTTCCTAGAGTAAAAAGAAGGATAGTGATTATATATGAAAATGTACTGGTTCTCTCAAGTTGCGAAAAACAAAAGCAGTTAATTAGTGGGTAAAAGAAAATTATTATTTTAAATCCATCCCTCCTTCCTGCCCTTCCCATTCCCATCTCCTCCTTCTTGCTGTGTAAATAGAAGTAGGCAGGACAGCCAACATTTATCTCAGGGTTACATAAAGATATTAGGGTAGAATGAGAGCAAAAGTATCTCCATTGAGTTTCAAAATAAAGAAAGCCTCTTAATGTAATACTTAGTGAATACCTCTACATGACTTCTGCATC